AATAATTAGTGAATATATATGGCCAAATTTACACAAAGATATACATAGGTGCATCACAAAGTGCTCAGTATGCCTACAGTTTATGGATAGCCGTCATATAAGTCTACCCAATGGAATTCCCTCGCAGAAAAACTCACATTCTGCACACTTTCATGTTGATTCTCAGATCTTTTACTGTGTTCTAATAATCTCAATTATTTCATTACAGGCATAATCATATTACCGAGGCTACCGGTAGACGGGAAAACGGTGGCCAAAGTTTACATTCAGAACTGGACCATCATTTTCGGTACGCTTGTCAAAATATCAACCGATAGGGCAGTCAATTTTAATCTAAGCTATTCAACAACTTGTCGAAATTTGCAAGACCAAATAGAGTAGGATGATAGAGATCCATCTTCAGGCCAATGATGTGATGGAATGTCCCCATTGTCAGTTAAAATTCTCTCGATTATCACACTTAAATCCTGCTCAGTGGGGTGGATTCTTGATATTAGTCTTGCTACTGATGAAAAGACCTATCACAGATTTGGAAGACGGTATAACTGAAGGTTTGCAATATTTCCATCTGTTAAATGTATAATACGACAATACGTTGATACGTTAATATGGCAAATGATGTAATATCATAACCAGGATTCACAACCGACAATAGAGAGTTAGATTTACCCCAGAAAATGCTTTATTCAATACAGTTACAAGCAGTCATACACAGTGAGTCCAGATTGGAAATCAATGATAGGAAGGAAAACCACATTTTTAGTAATCTGTAAGTTGCGGCTGTTTGTCCACGCTCAATGACCAATTCAACTTTACTTTTACTAGTATACACCAGAAGCCGAATTCGTTTTCGGGACAACGTCAAGACTTCTAGATGCGTTTATTTAACCTTATAGACCTAGCAAGCTATGTAGACCAGTTACGAGATTGGATGTTTACAATGAAACGTATTCATACTCATGAAAAATCGTGACTTCTATGTATATTCAAAGATCTAGCCACTTTTACATGCGTCTGGAAAATGTCCTGCAAAATAAAAGCGCTTCGTTGTCATCCATTTAAAGACTCACTCAAAGTACTCGCAAGAATATATGGAGGCACAGACACAATTTGTAACAATGGGCTGAAACTGGACTATCTAAAAATTGAAGGTGTTGTTAAGCTATTTGCTTGAGAAAGTAAACAAAGAATTTTCAGCTAACAAACATTATTCGCATGTTACCGATAAGGTCAGGCAAGTACAACTGATCATTCACTTTATTTAAAAATTATTTCTCATGTGAAAAATAGCAATAAGAGTTCAAATCGTTTGAAATGCTTTATTGTCATTTTTGCGAGAAAATACGTGGACAATGTTATCACAATAAAATTAGTCCTAACCAGTATTTAGCCCAACACTTCCATAGTTCCCTTATTTTTTGTGAGTTTAATATCCCGACTTCAAAAAGTGGTTTACTCTATGAAGAACCACTAAACAAAAAGATAAAACAACAGTGAGCGCAGGTTACAAGGTAACATAGCGACTTTGGTTGAGGTGGATGTCATGTGGAGGGTACACTAACGAAATTAGCTATTTTAAAAGGTGATCTACCAACAGAAGTAAATGTTTGGGCAATACGATTGAAACATGGAAGTGTTACATCGAAACTTACTAAATAACGTAAACAGTTCACCCTTTAATTAGTAAAGAAAGCGAAAGTAATGTACAAAGATTTGATGACTTCACTGGATGGTTTATTTTGTTCATGAAACTTGATGACATTTAACAATTACTTTCATATAGACTAGTAATATACAGTACGACAGAACTGTCACTCTGAATTCTTTGACATCGACACGAGGTACGACTTAAGTTTTCAGGGAACAACCTACTGCTATGTGCGTGTGTTGTTTTTAGGTTCAGATCCTGAAATTTTCATGAAAAGGAAACTTTATCTTCTTAATGATTCAGATTTCACTTCCACAAGTCATTTTCTCATTTTTTTAGTTTTAGATTATTTGTTTTTGTCATACTTGACATTCCTTTATATTGCAACGTGGCATTCATGTATATCAACATCATACTACTTTTATGCATCGTGTTTGACAACACTTTGAGTTATCCTGAGATTCTCCGCGAAACCCACAATAGTCCTTATCACTGTATGTAACTGACTTCACGATTTCAGCTATCCAAGTAGCCATCTGGAGGTACATTCTCAAACGGTATGACCATTATCGACAAAAACGTTACAGCATCAGGATAGTTATACTGTCCTTATTTAAAACGTATGCTCTGGCTGATAGTTATACATGAATTATTCACTATTTATCATCAATATTTCTTTGACTGAAGGTATTATGCAATAACGCTCTATCTTTATCCGTAGTATATAAGCTGTGCTGATTTCTACACATTACGATCACTGAATTTCAAACAGACTGATTTCTGGCGTAAAATTAAGTCTTATGCACTCACCAAACCACAAACAAAAATATGAATATTTGTCTTAAAAAATATGGAAACACTGATTATGGAGAACGTCTCCCCTGTATAAAATCATGTCTAATTGATTGTTATCAGTCGTCTGTTGAGAATTCACGGAACTACAAGTGTTACCACGCAATAAAATACCTTCATGGTACCAGTCAATATATATCACTATATTCCGTTACAGCTAAACAGTAATGAGGTCGAGACAATCATCCTACACGTAAACAAAAGGCTTATTCAAAAATGCAATAAGACATAAGTTCCAATAATGTCAGCATTGTATTTGCCATATTTGAAAAAGATAAAAAAACTACTAATGATAATAGAATAATAATAAATCAGGTTCTGTGTAATTGAGAAGAATATTGAATTGAGTTTAGAGAAGGGAAGTGAGAATAGACATGCAGGAAACATGAACACAGGACAAAAATAAACGACTGTGTATGTGTCGTCAAATTAGTAACCAAAATAATAGAAAATGATTAAGAGAAAATGACTTATTATTGCAGTAGGGTATGACGCCAGAATAAATGTTTGTGCAGTCATAGTTTAGAGTTATGCTATGAAAGTCTCAATTAAGTGCAAACGATAACCAAATATCATTATGTATGAGTCGTATATGAATAGTGAATGTAAAACGAGTCCGAGAAGTTAGTTTAAATGTAACACAAGTTATTGTCTTAAATACAAAAACCGGAATCTTAAGAATAATAATTATTAAGAAGGAAAAAAGAGAGAAAAGAAGTAAACATCTAGTGAAGAGGTTCAACCATGAAAATAATAGTGTAATGAGTGTCGAACTCTGAAGTAAACCAACAATTAAAAATAACCAATTACTGCACTCGGGTAAGTACATGTAGATTTACGTAATAATATGTAGAGTGAAACCGGATATTGGTATAAACATTTGTGCATCCGACAGCCAACACACACGATGATACTTTGGCAGTATCTTTTGATATTCATACATTTATTCCGAAAAACAAAACTTTTTGCTAATTTGCTCCCCATAATATGTATATTAAAACAAAATAAAACATTCTGTAAAAACCGTTTCTATGCTGTCGCATGTGCATGAGTTTATCTTCCTTTTTCTCCCGCTTTGTCTTGACGCGCATACGAGTGTGATTCGACAAGCAATTGCATAACCTTTTATTATTTTCCAGGAAGGCTGGGAAAAGACAAAAAAGAACGACGAAGTTTACGATGAACCAAAATTTTTATTGTACATGTTTCTTTTGTTACTATATTGTATTACATGGTCCCCTATAGTAAGGAAAGACGTCAAGATGCTGCTGAACATAGCAAGCTATCAGAAGGATGTTCACCAAAGACAAACTCTGGGTTTAAACTTTTGACTGGCCATGTCTTATGGTCGTCGCTGCCCTACAATGGAGAGAAGTATTCTGTGGTTGTAAATAAATCCCCAAAAACTATGGCTCTTCAACATTGGATGCCGACCACAATAGTTTCAATGGACTCACCTAGCAGAAGGCGCTTGGTCATGCATCCTAACCAGATCATGAGTGGGAACGCCGTGCTATCCTGTCAAATATATCTTCAAACCTCCTTGCTTCTAACTTTTGATTTCACCTGGTTGGTACGATTCATAGTAGAACGTGTTTCTGCTTACAGTGTTGTCAAACTCCCAGTTTCTGTGGCATCTTCAACTTGATGCGCTCTGAGGTAGTTTCAAGAATTCAATAAGCTTAATCTGAATGCAATAACTGCAGTCTACTTAGCGTATCATCCTTAAAAATAGTTCTGCGTCACTAACTCAAGATACGTAAAAATAAACACCATCCGACAATTTGAAAAAAAACATCCCACTATCCGGTTAGCATAAGTATCAAAAGAATACTTAGTCCCATGAATAACAGATGATCCATGCCACTAATTTTTTAATTTAACACTGTACACCAATTTAAGTAGGCTCAGGATCTGGAAGATTCTTACTGCTTTACAGCCTAATAATTTATGTAACAAACAATAAACGCACCGATGTCCTCATTCAAGTCTAAAAAAAGTTAATCAATTTCTTCACTAGTCAAGAAATAATCTTGTGTGTGAAGTCGTTTCATACGAATCATTTTCAAAAAATTTGCAAACTAAAGTGACGCGGTTTAACTGTAACCTGATAGGAGATTTAGAAAACACCTTTCACACCAAACCATATTTCAGTTGATAATCCTCAAGAAATAAAATATTTCATGATATAGTCGCTATGAAATTCAGTACAGATAACTGCTATAGCAATCACATCAATCAACGTTTATAATGCATAAACTAATGTTCAACTGCTTGCACTCACTTCACGCTTATTTATCGAAAAAGCTGAAGGTTTTCAACTCTGCATTTGCAATCAGTAACAAAAGTGTTTTATATAACTTTCACCATTTTAAGTTCAGTCTATAATGTTAGTTCAAAGCACTTGGCTCATGAACATATACAATTAAAAATGACATAAACAGGATTTTGTTGTTTGAGGTTTTTGTTTAAACCTTCCATTGGTGGTTGTTACTATAACATTTATTCATCAACCTTGACAAGACTTTGATTTCATCAACACTTTCATCATGAAACTTGAAGTCAAAAGACGAGTATGTTTGTTATCAAAATAATTATGTCTTGTTCTTAAAGGTATCAAAAAAGCAGCAAAGAAAGAGTCAACAGGATGGTGACGAATTCGAATCCAGTTTGCGTGAGGATATGGATGAATATGGTGTGCGTGCTGCTTTGAAACCTGAAGACCAACTTCAGTTGTCCGAGCAGGTTTGATTAATTCACAATTATACGTTTGTAGGAGCTGAAGGAAGAGATAACTAGGGTTCTGACTTCCACCAATCCTCATGCTCCTCAAAACATTGTGAGGTATAATTTTAAAGTAAACGTATATTCTTGCTGTATAATTAAAGCATAGGATGGTCAGTATATACAAATACCTCAAGTAGATCAAATGGCTATCCACTTTTGGCATGAAAGTTATATGCTTCCCTTTGATTCCGATGAAGCTAGAAGACAAATAGCTAGAGATGGTACTATGCAGCCTGAAGGTAAGTGAGTCTAATATAATTACTTCTGAGTTAGAGTTACAGTTAGAAGAACATATCAAAGAGGTAATTATCTATATTTTTGTTTATGCGCTACTTCAAAAGCCTGCAGCTGCTGTGAAAGAGAGTGATCTTCAATTACCTCATCAAAAGAAAGTCACTAATCAGTTCAACTTTTGTGAGAGGTCTACACAAACATACAATAACCCTCAGCGGGTATGTTTTTTTTAGAAAAACATTATCGCTGCTAGGATAGAGGAAACATTACAGAGCTTCCTCCGAGGGCGAACTTTTCAGCTAATGTTACACAGTGGGGCATTTATGACGACTACATAGAAGATTTTGAAAGACAGCAGGAGAAAAACAAAGATAAGAAGTTGTTAGGTGTGAGTCACAAGCAAGAAAATAAAACGCACAAAAAGGTTATTTCCGGAGATACTCAGGTAACTGCACACTAAATCTTCAAGAACTTCAGTTTACTCGAATAAAAGGGAATGATGAAAAGTTTAGCGACTCTATTTTGAACCAAATGATATTACTTTTTTCGGAAAACGATGAAGGATGCTCAGATTTATTTAAAATTGCTCTATAGTGACCCCTAGTAAATGATAAACCGTTGTTTTTGAGTGCCCTGGAAGGGATATATATTAATAACCAAACAATTACTTGAAAATACTTAGTGTATTCATGATATGATTATCAAGTGCACGAATGATACTGCTACCTTCATCTCTACCACTGCTTACACTCACAATAGTAAGGCGTCGTTAAAACGAGGGTCTGTTGACGTATTTTTGACTGTTGTTTATCAAAAGAAATCATTTTGACAAAGTAGGTATAACAACTGACAGAATAATATAAATCCATTTTTATTTCATAGTTTCTCATCGGGTTTTTTTAAACCGGATTTGTGCTGAAGTATAACATGGCATCTATTTGTAAAAATAAGTGACTTTGAAATTGAGATGTAGAGGATGACTCATACTGTGTGTTTGTATTGTGGACAGCTCACGAGAACTAACAAAAAAAGGGAACTGTACTATTTGTTTTAGTTCGTATATGTTGGTCGTTTGGGTCTCTTCGGGAGCAAACTTCGACCTAGGGTCTGCTTGCAGCGCTGCAAATATGTCTCTAAGGACCTAGTGAACATCTACCCTCCTAAGTGGGTGAACATACCTACATTTTTACTATGGGATGCGTGAGATAAACCCTGTGCCTTGCGGGTGTGCATATGAAGTGTATTTGCTTACAGAGTAGGTGTACGTGCATGTATACCCAGGAATGCATGGATAAAAGTTCGTGTTTTGCCTGGTACGCATGTAGACTATACCTATTTAGGGTAATTAAAAACTTCAAAAATCCTCTACTTACTCTTTTTACGATACCGAAGTACACGTAAAGATCTGAGGGGCCGCGGCTTGCCGCAAAATCACATCCACATAGTAGATCCGTGAGTCTTGAAAACTCTGAATTCATTCCGGAAGGGCTTTACCAGAAAAAGCTTCACCAACCAATCTGGCTGGAACAGCACCACCACATCATTGAGTCTTTCTATTAATGTTTGGAATAGTAGTTGATCAGTGGTGCAGGTACATCCAGATAATTAGTCTTTAATAAGATGAAACGCGTGTCTTAGATTTAACTGATAGCTACCGTCCGTTTCTGTTTAAAAGGCTCGTGACTCATTGATAGTATCGATGTAATCAGCATAGGATGCACATATCCCGAAAGAGGCTAACCAATTCTTTAACATCAAAGGGATCCAGACAACGAATACATGTGAATTAAAATTCACCCCATCACATAAGCCAGCGGCCATCTGAATTCACTAGCTAGATAAACAACTCTATGATGTTTGAGGCGTAAGATACTATGTTAGAGTTTTGAAGTGAATACCAACTCCGAGACGCAGGTGCATCTAAGTGAAGAGTCCCAAAGAAAACAAAACGAGCTCCTTGAATTCCGCTGCTTGCTACCATACATCTTTACCTAAAATGTGTTATCTTTTTTGCTTTTAATTAATTTAAGTAGGAAAAACCAACAATATAATGATGGTGTATTACATATTCATCATCATTGTGGAAGGTTTGCACTTGGGACGTATTCAGTTCGATAAAGCTTATGTTAGTCTATCACAATTTCTTGAATACGTTTGCGGAAAATTTGTGAACTTTACGATGAATTCTTATTCCTTTTTGTGTATCACGTAAAAACAGTGGGGTGAAATTTTAGGCAGAATAAATTTCTATCATTGTGCTAGTTTATGCTTCTCTTTTAAATACACGCTAGTGAGCTTGAATATGTCTATCTCGTAAAAGATGAAAAGCAAACAAGGAATATTTTTTATTAAATCTTATATTAATATAAATATCCGGCGTTTATATTCCAAGCTTTCTCTCACGGTTAGTACTCAAGCTTGAGTTCTTATTTGATGTCAAAAGTTTGTGCTGAAATTGACTGTCCAAATTTGATTGTTTTATACTTTTAATGTCAAGCTGTTTATGGAAAATATTGTTTTCTTGGTTATTTTGAATCTTAAATTAATGTGTAGAATAATGGATGTAATAAAAATACGATAATTTACCTCACTGAAAATAAAAACATAGATGGTAGGAGAAGATAAGTAAGCATCACACCGTGTGTACAAAAACCGCATTTTATTTACAGGAAATGTGATCTAGCTGAAAAGTACCTTTGATTGTTATTAAGCTTAATGACTTAGAAATCAATGATTAAAAGTTTTGGGTGCAACTACGAAATTAAGACTGATGAAGGAATTTAGGTGTTAATAATTTTATTACGTTATTCCAAGGTTTGGAAGTACCGACTATTGACTGCTAAGTGTCTCTAGTTGGTCACACAAACCTCATCATTTTAAGATATTCTCACATATAAAGTAGAAGAATAACGTTTACAAAATTGCGATTACACAAAAAGTCCCATCAAGATTTGAAAGTAGCAATGTTTTATAGATATACGACAAGGATAAAGTTAAAAGTGATTCAAAGACCAAACATTTTCGGGTATGTCTCACTTATTAACCGGCTAGAACTGAGTTGTTTACTATCCCATACAAATCTAACAAATAATATGACAGAAGATATATAGAAAATTCTTGTAATTATTCTAACGATCCAACCCAGTCTCATTTTACAAATAAAAGTCAGAATTATCACTGTTGGCTGGTAAAAACCTCCAAAGCACAAACAAATAGATCATTAATCGGAGTTTTAAAATTGCTCATCACTGATATTTTTACTCAGTCTACTTTATCCAGTAGGCAAGAAATTTTAGTTTGATTGGTTTCAAAACCTTGGAATATGAACAATAAAGTGTGGCAGTGATATAGTCAAAAATAATATTTGAGAAACAGATTTTACTTCAAAACCTCAGAATAAATCTATCTGCTGATTTCAAAAAGTGTAATTTTTTGTTTACTTAGGTTAACGGTGTGATATCACCGTATCTTTCTCCAGAAATGTTTCATGAGCTAAAGTTGTACGTCCAATAATCTATGCACATGTGCTCTAACATTTATCAATGCATCATTTAAAAATTTTTATTTTAGGGAGATGAATTAAGTCGGTTTGCACAACCCCTTAAAATCGTTGAACGTATGATCAACCAGAACACACATGACGAGATCGCTCAAGATTTCAAGTACTATGAAGACCCTTCGGACGAGTTTAGAGACAACCAGGGTACCTTATTACCCCTATGGTCATTTTCTTTTGAAAAAGCAAGAAAACTTGCTGTAACATCTTTGTGCTGGTCATCCCAATACAGTGATCTTTTCGCAGTTGGTCATGGGTCATGTAAGTCACATTTTAATAAACACATTGATAACAAATTTTTACTGCATACGTTTTCATTAAACCGTATCTGAGGATCGATTGCTTAATGGGAATATATGTAGGGGACGACATTTTGTTATGACCTTTAGACTACTAAGAAATCATAAATATTTCTTCTGTTTCAAACCCAAAATAAAGTAAATAATCTGTAGCACCGTAGTTTTTAACAGAAATGTGAGTGACAAATAGAAACAAATATATAATTCTGCACGATTTTTAAAATAGTATCCCAACTTGTATCTACTACTACTAAATAATTCAGTCATGTAACTATTTGTACGTGATTAAACGACAGAATTAGTAACTGTCTGTTAAATCAATTCAGGAATTTGATGTAAGCGAGCCCTCAGCTATACTATTCTATCAGAACATATTTCATGATTCCATGTAATTAAAATAATTCGTCTAACGTTATTAATTCTTCGCCAATATAATACTATAAATCTAGGAATCCAATTGCATCAATTTAGCTAATGAATGAAAATAAACACTTTGCCGATCACTACTTTAGTTCTTTTTTAGTCTTAACATTGATCAATGATTCCATAGACTAGATTTTTGTCATAAAGTTGCAAAAATAGTCATTAAAAGCCCATTCAAGCAGGAAAATATAAGTAATTTAGCACTATTTCAAAGTGTATTTTTGGATTTAAAACTAGGTTTCTTCATACTCAGGTTGATGTACAAGAGCACTCTAAAAATAAAGAATACAGATATGAAACAATGAATAATATACCTTCAATATGGACAAGTTGTGACCTGAATATGTTAAAAAATTTCATGCTTTAAGTTTAACCATCATTAATTAATTCAAATGTAGTCTATCCTTCATAATTTCTTGCCTTTGTTATTTATTAGATGATTTTTTGAAACAGTCCAACGGCCTTATTTGTGCATATACACTAAAAAATCCAAGTTACCCAGAATATTATCTTGAGACAGAATCAGGTGTACTTTCATTGGACTTGCATCCATCACTGCCCTATATGCTTTGTGTTGGATTTTATGATGGAGCAGTTGGAGTTTATAGTATTTTACAGCATAAAAATGGACCATTATATTTAAGTACAGCAAGAACTGGTAAACATACAGATCCTGTATGGGAAGTTCGCTGGCAACCGAATGATTTAGATGCAAATTTAAATTTCTTTTCTATTAGTGCAGATGGGCGAGTTACATCATGGACACTGATTAAAGTTAGTGAAAGTGACTGGTATAATTCGTTTACGAAAAATATGATTCATAGTATAAACAATACCAATTTTGTTAAAAGCTATAAAAACATTTACATTAAAGATTTTATTATCATTCCATTTTTATTAATCGGAATTACAAGTAAACAAAGTCCGGCTGAATTGGGTACTAGACATTAAAAGTTTGTATGAATAAGTCACAAAATTCATATGGTTATTTTTAACAGAGACATCATCAACAAGATACTTTATATATTTTGTTTTATTTTATATTTAACCACCTAAAAGATAAGATACCTGAAGTATTATAAACAGAAAAGATAGATATGACTGTTATATTCACAATTTGTTTGATATAAACTATTTTGCTGTTGGCTAAAACTGTTGACTATATATATATGATTAACACTTGACAGCTGGTATTTGTATGGTTTGCTTCCAATCACAAATTGCTATTATTTTCATTAGGATGAACCTTACGTTTTGATAACGTCCTTATATTTCAACTTAACATACTTGACCAAGTAGTGATCTTTAAAATTTAGTTGATATCTCATAAAATATAAAACATAATTATTTCTATGGAGGAAATCAAGAGCTCAGGACACCAGCCAATAACATATTTTGGTCTATACAAAGACTCTATTCATTATCAATACCAAAATGTCCATACAGACGACTCATAGACCTTTCAACTGTAAATATGTGCTCATTGCCAGATCTAAAGCTCATACGACCGATTTCAAGTAGCATCTTGAATACCTCTTGTAAAATTATCTCAAACTAGGACAAAATAGGTACTAAGTTTCTTCTAGTTATCGATAGTTCTTAAATGCAAACAACAACAACCTCACTTAAAAACCTTAAAAACGTAAATAAGATTTATTCAAAGCTCCCCAACTGAAGTTTTAACTTATAAGATTTTGCTTTATTTATTACACTTACAAATTTTATATCCAAATCTGACTCATAAAGGCTCAAATATGACAATAATCTGTCAGCAGCTTGTAGAAAATAGTTTATAGTACCCATTACTACTTGGTTTCAAATTTATACAATGAATCAATAACTCAAACAATAAACAGAGTTAGTGTTTGACAAACAGTGTTCTCAAATTGAATAAATTAATTCTTTTTATAGTATGGGATAACAAAAATGATTTAAATAACAAAATCTCTTTTCTTTTAACCTCACAAATACAAATCTTGTTTAGAATATTTATTTGAAAGGGCTAGGAATGATTATATTTCAATCCACTATAATCCATTATAAATGAAAAGCCTGCTTGCTTAGATAATTCCACTTGTTTTAAACTGTCCTAGTCTTCTCTAAATAATGTTTTTGTTATTCTTCCTTATCCTTTATTGTTTCTTGTATTGATCTCTACTTGTAGAATGATATAGGTAAATTTGATGCAGTGATATTAAAGATGATAGCGAATTCTAAAGAAAGCATTGAACAATCTCGATTAATTACTCTAGGTAAGTTAATAAAAGACTAAAACATGAACCTCGAATAAAATATTTTATACGCTATTATTACTTACTTACTTACGCCTGTTACCCCTTATGAAGGATAATGGGCCGCCCACCATCATTCTCCATTGCATATGTTATTATACTACTTACATATGGTTAAAGTAGCCAAATGGTCTAAAATAAAGTAACACTGATAGGAATCTAAGTGATGAGATGTACTTGGACGTTTGAGGTGATGCATTTTATAAACAGTCGGCTACAAACATCATTATCCGATACATTTTACTTCAGAATAAAGAGATGATCAGGAAGAGAATACTGGATAAATTGTTCTTGCGCGTGATAAAACCCTTAATAAGTGTACTATGTACACTAATAAGCTATTTGATTGTATTAAAGTTTTCTCGACAGTTATTAAGCATCTAGTATAGGTAGCAAATCTATCAACCTTTGCAAACTTAAATATTAAGTAAAATTGAATCACTCTATTTTTATCAATCAAGAAAAATACAAACAAAACATTTTGGTATAATTGGTTCACTTTGAATAAAGCCAAAATAACAATTGGTGCTGAACAAGAAAAAAACCCACTTCAGAGTACTTTTGTCCAAAACATGTGCAAAATACTGTTAATATTTCAAAAACTAGCATAGAAAATACGACCTGATTCCTTTAAAAAGGTGAATTTGTATTTAAACACAACTATGCATTGATTCCAATGGCAATTTTTAGAACTAGGAGATATTTATATAAGGAAGCAAAAATCACACTGCTATTTAAAATACGACACATATAAGCGAACAATTGTCTTCAATTAGATCATCATCAGGCTTTACTCTAATATACAGTAATATTTATACGAAAATGTTAAACCAATCAAGGCAATTTGGGCCAGTAAGAAACCTTCGTAAGAAACCTTTATACATGAAACTACAATTCAACGGGAATGTGGCTAGTGATACTCTGAAATATAGATTAACGAAAATAATCAGCAGAACATTTTACGCAGCCAATCTTGCGTTGACTTTCTCTTGTCGACCAGCGATGTCTACTCAAACGAAGGATAAGTTACCTGAGTTGGCCTCCTCAATGTGCATCTGAAAATTCAGTTGCTCCTGTGGAGATAGCTATATCGGGCGTACTACCAGGCAACTTAACCAACGAATGAGGGAACATCTGCCAACTTGGTTTATAAACGGCCAGATAAAAACAGTACGCAGTTCAATCCTGGCACATCTTATTGATAGTGGTCATGCTGTAGATAAATCGAAATCATTTCGAGTGATCTATCGTATACTTCCATCATTTCCCAATGGAGTTCGTTCCCACCTCTTACATATAGCTGAAGCCATAGGAATTCGTACATATAACCCCTATTTATGCATACAGAAGAAATTTGTAACTCCCCTAACCCTTCCATGGCCAGTTATAACTTAACTAACGATTAATTTTTATTTTCTTTATTTTTTCTTTATTATTATTATTATATCATTAACCTTATTTACTCGTCCATTATTTGTTTGGAATTATCCGCCTCTTTCCGTTTGCATTCTTCACTATCTAATTATTTACACACTTCTTATTACGTAAAGATTTTAATGCTTTGTGATGACTACTCCATTTACCCATGTTTGACCTACTATTTCCAATGTTTAACCATCGATAAGACTTTTGTTATATTATTTTAGTAATCTTACCTACTATCAGTACACCTGTCTTTCCAGTATCAACTTGTACTTTTATCTATTATGTGTGGTGACTTATTCTATTTCATTGTAATTACTGACCCAAATCGCCTTGATTGGTTTAACATTTTCGTATAAATATTACTGTATATTAGAGTAAAGCCTGACGATGATCTAATTGAAAACAATTGTTCGCTTATATGTGTTGTTCTGATTTTCACAATGGGAATATTTAATATTTAGAATACATATTATAATAAGAATAAATAAGTTTTCGTGTAAGGGTGACCTTTTTGGGCAAATATGTCAGTCGCATTGCTCAAATAAAAGGTCAGACAGATTTTTCACACTGAGATATACTCACAAATCTTGTCAGTACAAATGATTGAAAGTAAGAAGCATTTTGAAGCCAAAACTGAAACTAATTTCTGAAGTAGCAAAGAAGATTTTAATGATGTTGTTCCATCGCTAATTTATACCTAAAACAAAGCGTACTGTTTATATATCACATATAAAAAATAACATATGTAAATAATAACTTAGTTGATGCCAGCTTTCAGTACCTTGTAATGGTTTACCTTATTCTACTTTGGAAGGATTGATCTAGAATGAGAAAATCATTCGTTGAATAGTAAAAAAATTAAAAATAAAGTTTTTACTAAAAAAATTAAAGAACCTGCCAAGTTCTGGTTAAGGTATGTATCGAAACTAAATAAGTTTTACTCCAATTCAGATAACCCATAGTTGATAAAATAGATGAGAATTGATATGAGGATGAATTTATTTAACAAGTCAAAGGTTGTTATTTTATGTATGTTAAGAGGTACTGATCATAAATTCTGTAGCTAATCCTAAGATTCGATTAACTGAAATGAATTTTGACAAAATCATATACTGATTAAGTGATAATTACTTGGATAGCGAAATTCCAGCGATTGTATACATTCGGTTAAAAATATTGATTATGGTTACAAGTCAGGAAAATAGGATTTTCAGATACATTTAAAATCAATTGTGATCTTATTGATAAAAAATCAGAATTTCATTTTATTATCAATATTACCATGAATCATTTTCAAAATCTGTAACTGTAAATGAGGTTGTATCACCTAAGTTGCTTACGAACGTAGATCTGTGACTGACAAGCGTTTTGTCTTCGATAACTAAATGTAATCACGAAAACACACTAATATCTTATCCCGATTTGACTTAAAAATATCCACTAATCAAAACATAAATTTCAAGAAACTAATAACCAAATCACTTCATATGCTGTATAACTTACAAAAGATATATCTAAAACTACAATCTTGTCTGAATAACAGAGATAATTAAAAGTGAAGCTAATGTATCAACCACAAAATTATGACTGTGATGCAAAAGATATTTTATAAAACAAAAAAACTGCCACGAAAAATAAGTTTCTTTTTTTCTGCGTTAGTACAATATGAGATCGATTTTTTCTGTGGCTGGATGGTATGTAATGAGTATTCTAAATGCTTTTGGAAGGGATTAAAGTGAAATCACCTCAATGCCTAAACTCTCGATCACAAAAGTTGTGTTAATTTATTAAAAAGCTACAATCTGTTCCCACTATGAATATCACCCGAACCAATGCAATACATTTTAGTTTTAGTCATAAACTTATCCCTAATAATATATACGTAGAACTGTTATCACGAATGAATACCATAGCATCAGAGACTAAGACCCATTACTAGAGTAAATTATATGTTGAATGAGTAATGTCAGATAAGCATTGTTTTACCGAAAGCTCAAACAAGGTTTGAATAAATAAATGTTCTGTTCAGTATCCTCAAAACGTAAGAAACTCAAATTAGTGTTGAAGTTATACTAAATATTGATGACATGAAAGAAGCTAACATTTAGTTGACACGCCTAAAAATTGACACTGATAAAACATTTGTTTATAGTTTTTAGTCTTTTAAGTATAACCCTCCTTTCTACTGATATGATACAATAAGTTGTGTGACCACAAATGATGAAATTCATGATTATTTTAAGTGTTAGTGTAAGCAGTCGTTCGGTTAGTCGATAAATCAATTCAAAAAGTGGTCAGTTAATCAATCATTCAATCAATCACTCAAATTCTTTACCTATTGTTGACTTTAAGAATGTCGTTCATCTGTAATTAAATGAATATGTATATATGACTTGCACAATAGGATATTTAGTTTATGGACGTACAGAACGATAGACATAAATATTAATAGTCCTAGAACAGATGTAGACATTAATTTAAGTTTATTTTGGGCTAGACGAAACTAACAAAACAAAAGATAAAATATTCAAAATAGTATTAATAACAGTAGTGAATATGTAGAAGACAAGAAACAAGAAGGGCATTAATATAGTAGAAAAGTATTTGAAAAAATACTGTGTAGGCTTTAGGGGGTAATCAAATATGAATGGATTATAATTGATGTTCAGATTTGAGAAATTGACATTTTGTTAGTCTTGGTTATAATAATTCCGAAATCAGAAACTTTAACACAATAAAAGTTATATAATAAATGAACTACAAAAATTTCTATCACTTACATAGATTACGAATTTTGATACAGGAAAAATTAAACTTTAGACAGAACAGAAATCATATATATCCTCAGTTAGAGATTGTTTAGGCAACAAATTTTCTTGAAAATTCATCAATAAACATTTTGTAAAGAACGTTTTAAGACAGCTACTTTAAAATTTGTATACCTTATGTTCATAGCTGAATGCGGGGCCCTAAAACTAGCAAACTTAATGACTACTTCTTAAGGATACCACAGTATAAAATAATTATCCACGATCTTTATGTTTTATCATTCTCGACTTCAGTTGGATTAAATTTCTACGTTTTTCTTCTCAATTTCTTGAACCTATTTTCTAGGGTTATTGGGAGCTATGAGTGACCGAATTAATAACTAACATATATTTACTATTACAATTATATTTGAATAAAATTCAACAATGATAATCACAGAAGTACCTTTTTAAAACTTTACTAACTCTAACAATCATATATCTTGTCACTTTACTGCCTATTCTGTTCACTGACAGATTGTGGTACAGCATTCGATTTTCATCGTACTCAGAATCATATATTCCTTGTAGCGACAGAAGAGGGAATGGTGTATAAATGTAGCAAAGCATATACATCTCAATATCTAGCTACTTATGAAGCTCATCATATGGCTGTTTATCGTGTAGCTTGGAATTTGTTTCATCCTGATATATTTATTACATGTTCAGCCGACTGGACAGTTAAAATATGGGATCATACAAAAAGGTAACACGAACATTTCTTTTATTTGAAAGTTCATTTAAATAAAAATAGAAACTAGATAAATTTTACTGTTTTAGCTTGTGACTGCTTATTACCGATTACTTAGGGGATTGGATCTAGAAAAACAAATTATATCTTCTGGTCAATTATTAATACGATAAAATTGAAATAATGTCAATTTTTCTTATAAGTCAATTAAATGATATATTAGTCAATCGAAAGTGACCTAAAAATATTTGAATGAAAGTACTTTTGTAAAAATATGTACACATGAACCTTTTCATTTCGTTTGTACTTTAAAAATGTAAATTTCATTATTCATGATAGTATTTTCACAAATGTGATACATCATATAAATATTTTTTTTTCCTTTCAACGTTCTAACCAGGAGAATAGAAATATAGACGAATCATCATATTCACCTTGTTATGTAATTCATGAATAATGTAATCATACACGTGAAATATAAAATCATAATGTGTAATAATTTATCGATCACACTGAATCAGTCAGTAATATATAACATAGGTTGTTCTGTAAATCTACACCAATTTACATTGTTACACTTCACATAATAAAATTAACAAGATTAACACAGAGATCAAGATAATAGTGGAGAAGAGAACTTATTGAAAAGAACAATTTTTGTTTCTTTTTTTTATAGTGAAGTAAGTAATTGTAAAACCTAAAGATGGATAGTATGATTGAAAAGAGTGGATGAATGAGAGGGTTCAAAAAATATGTAATAATAGTAATTAATATCAAGATTTATATGAAGAGAAAGAATGAATCTATTCGCATATGTGAAATCTGTTGTGAATCATTTCATCTAACATTCTTGACTAATAATTAGAACTATCATTTGAACCTAAACTAAGAAGTCTAAATTTCCCAACATAACTTAGTTTGATAGTTGTTACCTCAATAAATGTATTCCATTTTTTTTGAGCTTGGTTGTTCTTCCAATCTACTCCTACAATAGCTCTCAATTTACGTTCAGGTAGCTGGATGTTGGTTGAATATGAATGTTATTGTAGTGAACGGAAAGTCAAGTATGGTAAACCAATACCTTTGTTAAATATGAAAATCATGCATAAGATATATCATTTGTATATCTTCCTTGAGTTGTCTTTTATATACTCCATCATTCTTCCATTCCTGTTGTTATGTTGATTTCTCCTTAATTTCATTCCTTTTCTCTTTATTTCAATCTTCTTCTAGTAAACATTCTACTTTCAATTCCTTCACACCACAGTATATGTTTCAGTCATGATAATAAATCCACAAAATATATACATTTAAAACTACATAAAAATATAATAGAACAACTGTTTACTAAGTTGTTGTTTTTTTTTTCTCGGAAAAACGAAGCAAACTACGTGTTTAAAATAATAACAACTTAAATCTTATAATATTTTTTTTCATTAAATAAATGATTTTATGATTGTAAGTTTCTATGACAGTTTTTAGATCATTAATTTGAAAATTAAGCAGTTGAGTTTTCATAATTTTTACTTTGAACTTATTATGTAATCAAAAAATTTCGATGGTGTCCAATAATTAGATCATTAACAATACAAGTTTGTATACATAATTGTCTACATGAATGTTCAATCAAATTTTTGAACTAAAATACCAACGCTTGCTTATGATCTAGTAATTTGTAAACTGATGATAAAAACTAAATGATAGTTTAATTTGTAATGGTTTGAATTACCCCACCGTTGATATTCTGATTGAAATTTGAACCGCTTTAGTTGGTATATACACATCCTGTACGGATTGCCTGGATATAGAAAATATGACACAAGTTAATACAGAATAGATGAAATATGACTAGTGATAAAATCAAGGACGGATGTTTCGTCCTACATGAAACTCGTCTGTTCAAACGCCATCGCATCGTCTACTCAGCTACTGAGTTCTAGTCTCAAGGTGAACACTACCTCCAAGATACTGATATATACAGCTGACGAGTCTGAACTAGGACGAAACGTTCGTCATGAATCCCACTGCCAGCTATATCCCATCTATTCCGTATAAATTAATTTACTATGTAATTGTTCTTGAAGCCTAAATTTACTTTTGGAGTTCAATTGCCATTATTAATCTCAGCTAAACCCATCACTTATACATTAAAACTTCAAACATTATTGAATAAATCATTAAAAGGAAGCGGTCACTTTATATTGACGAACGATATTTTCTTACTTAATTGTGGACGTTAACAGTCAATAGAATACGAACACATGAACATGATAACTTTAAAATGACCTTATTATGCCTGAAATTCTTTCTCTAGATATATATCACAGTAAGTTCATGGGCAAACAAAGATAGTTTAATCTAACATATAAAATGGCTAAAGAATTGACTAACATTTCGCCAACATACATAAATTTAGCTATGAAATTACATTTCATAATTATACGTTGACTGTTTTAAAGATTAACATAAAATAGTGATAATAAAAGTGACTATAAAATAAGTAGACACATAAATCTCAATGTATTATACATTTTGATGAAATAATTCGTACACTGGGAACTTTCTTAATCAAAATGTAGATCTCTTATCTCGAGAAAAGCTTTTCTCTTTGCATTATGAAAACCAAATTTTCTTATCAGAACTATTCTGGCTATTGCAGATTATTAAAGGATCAATTACGTGATAATATGTTCAGAAACCTATGATTACGAGTACTGTCCGAGATTAATCGAAAATCCAGTGTTTTCTGTTTATATCAGTGACAATCGGAAGTCCAGATAAAATTGATATATATATGATTCCAGTGACAGTTAAGTACAATCTAATCACAGACAACTGAAATCTATTTTCAATGATCGCTTCACTGAATGTCAACTAACCAACAACTGAGTATATGGAATTCTGTTCTTTATCTAGTACCTTTGATAGAAATTTATATTCAGTTATCATCATTTGTGTCTTGCATTTCTATATCACATAGAAACAATTTATATAAAAATAATAAGGATAACTTTTATTAAGCAGTGAAACGGGTTAACAATATTGGACATAATGTACTGCGTGTATTTTAAGGGTTATTCAAGCGGTTTCGTTACTGAAAATAGTATCGCAACACCTCGATTGCTTGTGAAAAATGGAAAGGTGGTCAGTTATTGACATGGAGATATGAAAATGGGTGATTTTCCGATAAATTGGAATGTGCATTAAAACTATGCTTGGTCGGGTGAACTTCTGTCGATCATGTAGCTCAGAATTTGAAAATTTACCATTAATGACGCATAGTCCACTGAAATCATTATGGAACTTCATTTTCTGTTTATTTTTGATGTGGTAAATAAATAAAGCTGTCATGTATTAAAAGTTTTTGAATTTTGGATTTTAGATCTTAATGTTCAGCTAATCACATTTGTAACTGTTTAAAACTAACCAGTATGATTATAACCAAGTTATAAAATACACTTGGTATTGTTTGCTTGTATCTTGACATTGTTGTTTGGGGCTGCAATCGATTAGGCTCTTGTTGGCATATGTGCATCCTGTGCAGATTGCCTCGATATCGCCTTAAGTCATAAGCTTTATAAGCAAAGATGGATAGTGGCAACAGTGAAAACCAGGACTAGCGTTTCGTCCTATTTGTGACTCTTCAGCTGGTGTACCTTCATCCCGCAGTTGATTTTCACTCTGGGATTCGAATTCAGTATCGTTCACCTCAAGTGCAATCGTGTTATACAAGCAAACAATACCAAGTGAATTGAGTTGCACCCCAAGTGAGACGAAACGCGCGTCCTGGATTCCACTGATCGCCACTATCCATATTTGCTTATCAAGTTATAAAATAGTTTATCGCATATCAGAACCTGTGGCAAATTACAAAATCCTACGTTGAGGAATACTTTGATTTATAACTTATACATGAACACTGAAATACTTCAGCATCGTTCATTTAATCGACTATTTATGTAATAACGATTTTAAGAGGCACCCATCAGTTAAATAACTGTTGAAAACCGCAGAATACTTGATAGTTGTTTAAAATTTCCTTGAAACTTATCAGTGGTGAAAACATACTGGTCATCATAGGATCAAATGTGTTATTTTTTTGCAAATACTTTTTAAAAATACTGTTATTGTAACATAGTGAACAAATATTAGTTTCAGTACGTTCATACATGACCTAAGCATGTTATAGGCCCTTGTGACATGTTTTGCTCAAACATATTTTGGTTCAACACCACGTGAGCCTGGTTTTGTCTTGTATTATCCAGTGCTTCGTTTGTTAGTTCCTAATCTCTATGTAAAGTTCTTAATCTACATTGTGTAAAAAGCGTTTGTATGTGTTTAGTGATATATACAATTTTACTGTGAAAACATAAAAATTAGATAGAAGTTAATTAGGCTATACGACACATCACACTTTCGTTTAAGAGACACAAAATTTATGATTTTAGAGAAATATACGGATATGTATGAAACAGTAACTTAACAAATATTATCTCAAGTATAAATGAATAAAACAAATAATCCATTCTGTTTGACTTCACACATTTTTTCAGGATGTTTCCTGTCACTGTTTTCAAACCAGACAGAGCGAATCGGAATGAAACTTGACAGTTGTACACATAGTTAACTAATACAGTTTAAACAATTATTAGCTTGACCTTGTTCAACTTTGATTCGTAGTATTTGTTTTATGTATGAACTAATAACCAAGGTGACATTTTTATCAATCTATAAAAGTTCAAATATTAATTGTAGTGAATTTTTACTCGATAATATTTTGAAATTTGATGCTTTACCCAAATGAATGTATTTATATTTATTTGCTGTATTAATTATTAATCTGTAATTTAGAAATAAGATTAAAATCTAACTGTTTGTGTTCTAACTCTAGTCTTCTAACAGAATAAATATTTTGTAAAGCTCATATTCCATTGTAGTAGGTAAATATAATCCTAAGAAACTGTAAATCAAACACAAGCTTTCAGAAATACTTTGGAAATGGGCAAATTACTTTAAATATTCATGAAACTGCATTGTTCATCACAAGACCCTCTTTCATTAGAGGGTACAGTTCTATAACAATCTGATTAAATTCCTTTCCGTATTTCAAACTACCTTACGTACGTACATATTATTTATCTTAGGAATAAGCTAATAGATATAAAATGCAGGGGTTTATTAAAGAAACGTTTGATGTAATTGTTATTAATGTACATCTCAAATATCATTTTCCTCAGTTCATTAACAACTTTAATAACAAGCTTTGTAAGTGAATGAGTTTGGTAATATGATATTTGAACCTTGTTATGAGAGATTATAATGTTCTACACGTAATTTGATTACCAATAAATATTGCAGATAATAAAATAGATTATCAGAAGGGATTGTGTGGAGATTTTAGAAATTTCACTGGTTGAAATCATGAATCCATTGAAGCTAGACCACCATGGAAAACCTGGAAGCACTGGACGGCCGTTTCATCCTAGTATGGGACTCCTCAGCAGTGCGCATCCACGATCCCGCCCCTCGCGAGATTCGAACCCAGGACCTATCAGTCTCGCGAGGAGCAGGATCGTGGATGCGCACTGCTGAGGAGTCCCATAATATCATATCACTTAATGAATTATAGCAAAAATGTCCCAATAGTCTGAATGATACTTATTGTCTGTTTTTCATGTTTGACATAATGCTCTGAGAAAACTCCTGAAGTTTATAGTATCGAACTAACTAAAACAAGTTTGATATTAAATCAGTGTTATTATACTGCCACTACACTATAAATGCATCCACTTAATACAATATTAAAATCAAGATATTTGAATAAATAACTGATAGTATTAAATATAATAAAGTTTTCGAAATATATGACAAAATCGTTACATGCGTGTTCACGTAGTACGGTTTGCATTGACCACTGTACTATTAGAGATGGTTTAACCGATGGATTTATACCATATGAAATATTTTAAAACTCATTTAACTTTAACTATTTTCCCATTACCAATATGCCAGAACTTTAATGTCTGAACAACAGCGGTATGCGACTCTCTTATTTGAAGTTTATCTAAAACTATATCCGTTTGAAGAAAACAACCTGTAGTTAACTAGAAGTATTCGGACTACTAAAAATCTGAAAATTACTTGATCTAAACACAACTCATAAATTCATAGTAAAATCCACTACTAAATATCGAAAGTTAGAAGTTTTGTAGAAACAACTAATTCCCTAATTATTGATCGTTGCTGCGACTTAGGAAACATGTATTTATATTGTCTATAGTGATTTTTATCTCTAATTTAGGATATTTGATATGTATGAACATTTTAATTCCTTCTAATCTTTCCTGTTTTTCTTTTCTCTTTTGTCCCCCTCCCTTTTTTGCATTTATTTACAAACGTACACACGCAGTACTCCAATGTTTACCTTTGATTTAGGCTCACCAGTGGGTGATGTTGCATGGGCACCTTATTCATCTACTGTATTTGCAGCAGTTACAGCTGATGGGCGTGTACATGTTTATGATATTTCAATTAACAAATATGAACCATTATGTAATCAATTAGTAGTAACAAAAAAGAATACAAAATTAACACATATTGCATTTAATCCCAAGTATAATATAATTATTGTTGGTGATGATCAGTAAGTAATAATTTGTTTACGGTCTAACATTAACTTCATTTATCAATCTATATGTCCAAATAACTATCAAAGAATCTATATGAATGGTTACTAGAATTGTTAGGTACACCGCATGAGTTAATTTTAAAGAAATACCAATAATGATAATGACTATTTAATTATTAATCTTACTGCCTTTGAAAATTAGCAGTGACGTTTAACTCCTTCATTGAGTGGTCACATATCAGTGACCAATATCATATTGAACATGGTGTATGTAAAGCCAAATCACTTAAATTAGTGTGACCTGGTAGATACAATTCGCCCAAAACTAAAAGCCATAGAAAAACTATATTGGTTACTACCCAGTGATAAATGTAAACATCTCAGTCCTACAGAAAGTCAGCCATGGGCAAAAAAAATTCATTCAGAGTGTCTCAGACTATGAAGCTGGCTGACGTAAATTTGAAACCAAACAAGAACATCCTTTTCACCAAAATTCCAGGTACCCATTGGTGACGGGTTGCAACTGACAAGTGATATAGGTCCGCTTGTTAGTAAGTCGATAAACCTTAGGTCTAAAACCTAATACTATTGAGTTAATAGATAAAAACTTTCATTATTATGGCAAATACATTCAGTATGATTCGTTGAAATATTCTAGTTAACTTAAAAATATAATTTGGATCAGAAAGCAATAAAAATTAAATGAACATTTGAAGTGTAATATTATTACGCGACAGGATCTGTATCAAACTAAATACAATGATAACAAATTGATCTGTAGTTAGTCAATGTTGTATCGGCCGGTGATCACAAGTTAGTTCATTATATCTGATGTACTGACGTTTCTCGCGACTATTGGAGTTGTGGAATTATTGAGATTGGGACAGAAGATGAGTGCTTATAAAAACTACTTAGATGAAAAAAGATTAAAAAAAGTTTACAAAACTGAATATCTGAATCCCGATAAATAAACTGCGTGATAATATGATTATGATAGTAGTAGTAGGTTTTACTCAGATTAAAGTAGAGTTTACGAGCAGATGAGGGATTTCAAACTAGATCCATAGTGTCGCTTGGTTTTTGATAGTTATAAACTCAGTGATGAAAACTCTTTTTTCCTCTAAACGCATGTCAAATATATTCAAACGATCATGTTTCCAGAACTTACAAAAAGAACTTGTGAGTTCTTCAACGAAATAAATCATATGAGAAGACCGGATGAACTTTATTTTTATGCTACTTATTAGTAAGTTAGACCTTAATCAGTAGAATCTTAATGAAAGTTTCAAATACAGTAGTTATACTACTGTAACTCTAATTCTTTAGGATACTTAGAAAAAACAAGTATTTCACCATAAAATTATAGTGAAGAATGAACCTGGAAGTAAACAGAGCCCACAGCAGAATTTGAGTTTAAACATTACACATCAATTATCGGTAGGTTGAATAATTAAATATGATTATAGTTACACTAATTTATATGGTTCAGGGGTTTACTAAATTGTTGATTGAATGATTAAACAATTATAATATCAGTGGATTATTTTAGCTGCTCAGTGATATCTTGTTGTATAAATCCTAATATCTACAGTTATCTTGACAATAAAACTTAAAAATATATTCATGCACATGGATAATTACACGCATAAATAACTGTCAATCTTTTCATCAGATATGACTCATTAACTATGCCTTTTATTTCCGTTTTAGTGGTCAAGTGAATAGTTTGAAGCTGTCACCAAATCTACGCAAGTTACCAAAGGTAATTTATAAAAAAAATTGTACGCTTAATTATCTTATGTTCTAAACATAATTTCCATCAAAATTAACTTTTGATAAGTGAATTGCATGATACATGGGTGCTCACTGCTGAGGAGTCCCACAATAGGACGAAACGGCCGTTCAGTGCTTCCAGGTTTTCCATGGTGGTCTAGCTGAAATTGAATCATGATCTCAACTATCGAAGTTACATAAAAATTGTGGAGTGATTATTTCTTAAATTTTATTTTATCAGCAGCTTTTTTCTCTGTATCGCTTAAGGACAGAATATGATAATCTTTAGATTTACAGATGGAGATCTAATTATTTTTAAATGTATTCATATCTTTTTGGAATTGTTGTGATCTTTGAGCTAGATGGATTGGTTGTTAAGTTTTCTTTTTTTTCTGAACAACATCATCAACAAGTACTTTAAAAAGAAGTGAGTTATTAGAATTTTAACAATTGAAATTACGAGTCAACCTACTCAAGACCACTAGTGAAAACCTAGAAGCACCTGACGGTCGTTTCAACCTAGTATAAGACTCCTCAGCTATGTGCATTCACGATCCCGCACGCGACACTCGGACTCTGGACCTTAGGCCTCGTGTGCTCTTAATCTCTAAACTACTGAGCAGACACCCAACGGTGTTGATGTCTAACGTCAATTAACCCATGATATTGCGCAACCTTTATCCATTATCTGTGGTGAATATTCGTCTCACGCCAGACATGGTTTGGACTCTACTGAACTCCGTGTTTTGTGTGAAACAGATTTCTACCAACCATGATTGAAGGTCCTGTGTTCGAGTCCCGCATGGTAGACCGTGGATGTGCACTGCTGAGTCCTGTACAGGGATGAGACAGCCGTCCAGTGCCTTGGTTGTCTTTTCTCGTCTCAACTATGTCTGAAATAACCCCTTCTGATCAAATGCTCAGTTACAACGGTAACAGCATCATAGACCACAAATTTAACTCTGTACAAGCACTGCTCGAAAGAGTAGAGACACTGCAGCACCACCGTCGTATAGAGATATGGAAGAAAGTATTTCATGAATCTACTTCTAATAAATGGCTGCCCACAAAATTTTATTAAGAAATGTTTATCAAACAGACAATCAAATACACAATAAACAACATAAACCAGTAAATAGATAGTTTGTGAAAAGTTTAAGACGGTAACCGAAGATAGCATACGCGATCCACGAAGCTTCTCCCAACTTGAAGAAGCTAGTTGTTCAACGACGACGACCCGGGATGATGGACGTTTAAAATATAGTCATCTAATATGCACAATTGTGACAGTCAGAAATGACTGAATTTACTAACTCCCAGAACTGTCTATTTCATACTCTAATAGTCAAGTATATATCATTATTCCTATCACAGAGAACTACGCGAGCACGATCTAGCGTATTGTATTTGTAATTCAAACCAGGAACGAAACTGTGCACAACATAATTATTAATTAGCACAAATATTTGATAATTAAAAGTATTTGAATTATAGTGCAAACTAGGAATCCCAGAAATAATACAATTTAACCCAGAACAACTATATGAGCGCGGATGAACGTATTGTATTTGGTTGGTTCACACAAACAACATATCCGCCACAGTTTAAATGAGAATCCAAATTTCTGCAACCAATTATACCTCTTCTCCTTAGGTTCGCCATGTATCTCTCCGATTGTGCATTTGATGTAGATTCTGTATGATCTAGAATGTACTCATTAGTATTAAAATTAACAACTGCAATTGGAACAGACTCACCTGGGCCCGGGAATAGTATACAATCACCGTATCGGTTGTGTAGTGAAACGACTGAGATCTAGAATTTGAATCATAGACTTTCCAACACTACCTCCCCCATGAAATAATGTAGGGTCCTAACGTCGCAATGTTATGACCAATTTGACGTTTCAAATTTACATTATCACATATCTCACGCTTCGATTATTTTATGTGAGTATTTGGGGATACACTTTGACATAATTCGAGGCATTCCATCATATGAATTTGACTTGCACAAAAAATATGATACATAATCTTTTTGATTTTCATATTAGAATACACAGATAAATATGCATTGACATGTGTAAATTAACACATGAGGTTCATTTAGGCTTGATTCACCTGCAAAACAATTAAATGGAAAATATGCACCTGCCTCATACTCATTAGGATAATCTTGAACTCGATTTCGATTTTCTGCCTGTGCAAACTTCATATCTGGGTAAACTAGTTTTCTGACTACTTCGGGAAAACTTTCTATTCCCTCTGACTAGGGATTCTACTCAACATACATTGGTTGTGAGAATATCCGAAATCAGGAATGTGACTTGAATTCGACTTATTCGGAACATATTTGTCACATTCATTAGGGATAACACCAGAGATAAACCCAATGTGAGGACAAATGACATTTGATATTACATCAGGATTTGATTTTTCTGAAATATTTTCCTCAAATTAATTAAGAATTTCATTAAAGAATAATAGATCATTAGAAAAATCACTACGAAAAATCAAAACTGCATCATGTTTTCGATCATAATTAGATTCACTCAACAGATTTTCTCAGATTTGTAAAAAATTTCATCAAAAATATGTGAATCGTTAGGATAAACTATATCTGGTACAATAAGATGGGAAATCCGATAAGAAGTTGATTGATTAGAAACCTTTGTCTCACAATGATTCTGAGTTTCATTTAACTCTGGACTGCTAGGCAACTCTATAACACTTTTCGAAATCGTGGATAACGTTAAACGATCATTAGAAACACCCTAATTGAAAGGATCAGAATTACAAAATTTACCATTAGTTGCAGCGAAATGAAGGGCAGTATTAAAAACTGACGGAATATGTCCAATCTCACCACATTTAAAGCATTTAGAATCACGGAATACATATGAATTAAATGAGTGAAACTTGCCACAGAACAAGTATTTACGAAACTTGTGCTCACTTTTGTAACCTGCTCCGCAACGCGTTGGACTGAAACAACCAAGTAAAGTAGTGGAATTCCTGACGTCCTGACGAATCACTTTATGAAAATTTTCTCCTTTAACGCATTCGAAACTTGCATAAAGAAACGAAATAGGCTTTTCTGGTAAAGCCAGAGTTTTTAATATACTATATGTTTCTTTCCCGATGAATGTAAGGAAGTGAGCCTCAACATCTTCCTCAGTCACGGCCCAGATTTCGAACCTTTCCATGCAATCCTCAAAACCATCAAAATCTGAATGTATGTCCAAACGTTCCATCGCGATGTCATTGTGATAGTTTGAAGTATTTGAATTATAGTGCAAACTAGGAATCCTAGAAATAACGCAATTTAACCAAATAGTATTAGATGAGCACGAATGATCGTGTTGTATTTAGAATTTGAAATCAAGTAGTCATTATGTACAAAGGAATCATTGGATCATACAAACATAACTTAGTTTTAACCCACACGAAGAACATCTGTGAGATAATGAACGGATTAAGACCACTAGAAACATGTGTAGCCCGTAAGCCAACAAAATAACTGACAACAGTATTTTACCATACGAAGGTCACAATAATAAACGAAGACAATCCAAACATCATGCACGAGACAAATTACAACAATTGAGACGAACACTATTTAAGACAAAGTGACCTCTTTCTCCGTCTACATCTACATAAATACCAGTTGACTGTTAAACGACAAAAAGTTACTTCACTCATCTATGTATATAGACATCTGTTGACTACGAAAAATTGAAATATTGGGTAAAGGGGATATAGACAAAACTAAAGAATTTGTAGAAACCGGGGACTCTGATCAAATATCAATCAATAGACACATCAAAATGGACAAAATCTAACACCTAATAAGAAAAAGGGTTGAAAACAGCACGGTCAGGAGAGAAAACAACCGGAAAAAAACGTAAAAGCAACGACTAAATAATTATGAATAACAACCGACTGAATTCCAAGTCAAAAGTACAAAATGTTAATTAACAGTGGGTAAATTCTAATAACTTACTTCTCTCTAAATACTTGTTGATGTTGTCGTTCAGGAGAGGAATGAAAGCTTTACAACCAATCCATCCAGCACAGAGAATGCAAAAACCTGAAGAACCCCGGCCTGACCTACAAACATTCCTCGTAATCTCACTATTATATCTCTATTTTTTATGGATTTTACTCAAATATCTTACTGATATCTGAGTTCATGGAGTATCTTATTCCTCTTACATAAATCAAATTAACCATAACTTGAGAAACCATAATGTAGTTCATTAGTTATTAGCATTAATAAACTGGAAGTTCTTAATAAATCTAAGGTCAAATGTCTTCAAAACATATCGTCCCACCAATTAACTGATCAAAAATAATTATTATGAATTTAAATACAAAAGTATTGATCATGAAGCTGACAATTATTGTTCTGTAATGATATATACCATAATTATCGATTATCTCATGCAATAATGTACGTTAAAAAAATCAATTCGGTTCTAGAATTAGATACTTTAAAAACCAGTGTGATAATCAATTAATCTATATGGAATCAACGCTTTATGGTGTGAAAAAATTAAGGAATCAATATCCAGTCCCCGAGTTTAATGTTATGAATAATTGATCAGCAAACAAAATATCGGGAAGGTAAATAGAATATTTGCTTTATCAGAATAGATAGTCTGCATATAAACATTTTGATTGGTAATCCTAGGATGGTGAGAATCAGATGTCCACTACTCTTAGGCATCCAGGTAAATTTTTAGCTGGTATGTAATGGTGATAAAAACTAAGCTAAAACTTGTTGTACCTCACGCGTACATGTTAAAATACTTAAGGAAATGTTATAAATATCAACAATAATCGTATTACAAAATATTTTACCAAGCAATATTTCTAAAGGTAAATCCATAAAACATCTCAAAGTTATTCAGAGATAATTACTTAAAATGAAAGGTTACATGAGTCACAAACGGATTCTAACAAATAGTCTAAACATGTTGGTAAGTAGTGGCTGATCATCTTCAACACTAGTCCTATCAACATAAAATGATATATATATATATATATATATATATATATATATATATATATATATATCAGTTGATATACATATAACTATTCCTTTCTATTTCGAAATAATGTGGTCTAAAGAGAGGAAGCGAAAATTGTGATTGCATGTGTAAATAGATATATTTGTAGGATCATTTTGATTGGTAACTGAAAAAAACACAGGAGAAGTAATGAAATATACACCGTTATTTTTTGTTACTTTGTATTGTAAATTATATTCAGTGATGACTTAATACTGTAACTGCAGAAACAAACAGATGATTTAGAGCAGTATTTACAATTAACTATTTTAGTTCATTCCAATTATCCAATACTTGAATTTATACATATTTATCGAGGTATTTTGACAACTAACAATATTTAACTCGAGTTTATTCAAGAATGAGGTCATACAAAATAACATTAACACATTCAGAATGAAGTTTTATGAAAGAAAATAGATTGAAAATTCCCATTTTATGAATTAGAACAACACATATAAGCGAACAATATTATTGTATAGGAGAGTAAAACCTGATCAAGATCTAATTTAAAACAATATAGTTGTCTTATATGTATTGTTATAAAATAAAATATTATAAATCAATGGAATTAACTTTTAACTGGTTCAAACAAAAACAAAAAGACTAGTATGGCGAAAAAATTATGCGTTTAACAAGGGCGCGCTTTGTACGGTTAATGTAACGTGCTCCATAAGAGCAAGTAAACTGGTAAACTTTGTAAACGAATAACCGATTACCAACATGGATGGTTATCTAAAGGGATATACATATCAATCCACAACTCAGCTCTCGAACACATGGTCAATTCAGGTCACACCGCACCAGGCGAATCTGCGTTCAAAATCTTCTACAAAGCAAAAAACTGGCTCAGAAAAAGTCTTGATGATGAACTTATACATAGCCGAGGCTATAGCAGTTCACTATTCCAAACCTGAACTCTGTGTACAGAAGAGTTACATTTAATCACTTATTCTCTCATAGTCTTAGCATTCCTGCGAATTTTACAAGTTCAAATTGCTACTATTAACCTTTATTCCACATATCATTATTTTTTATTACTTCCAAAACTATTAAATAACGTAAGCTCTTGATGATTGTTTTGTTAAATAATGCAACCTTTTTCATTCAACACTTGAAAACTTTAATTACATTGAAATAACAACCTTCTATTTATTAATAAATGTTTATTATTCCGTAATTTCCCCAGGAAAAGAAAGGTGCTGAACAAGTTAAAGGACCAGAAGTTGAAATTAAAAAGTTGGATAAAATCTTATCTTTGGCTGGTTGAAATAGTCAATAAAGGAAGAATAATAATAAGTGTTTGAAAAAAACCCAATATTTCTCACGTAACAAATTGAATTCATAAACTTAGTGGAAAATAATAGCCTGAATTATTTACTGATATATCATAAATTTACTTTGTACACAGAACTTCAGTTGATTTATTTATGTTACACTTCAATGGCGGGCGAGTATAGCTTGCAGAATATTATATCGATTTGCTAAATAATCACTTTGTAATGAGTCTATACATGAAGCATTGAATGACCTTGGTCCAAATCTATAATAAATTGATTTTTACCAAGGAACTAAGAAGAAATTCATAGTTCAGAGAGTTCTGCTAACTCCCAGTAAATATGTAATCTCACGTGAAATGTAGCATAGTGTCACATCGTTTAATCGTATATAACACGTTGTTTCCTGACTAGTTGACTTCGATGACCACCCGTGTACTAAACGAAAGTGTCCTCTATAGATACCAAATCATGCAGAAAAATGAGAAAAGAGAAGGGAAAAGAACAGTTCTATGTACTACATCTTGACTCGGTAAAAACGTCGGAAACTTTCCTCCAAGTACAGTATACTCTTCTCTTCTAGAGGTAAGAACATAGCCAGTCGGTTATCCAGTTGTCGGTGTTGGTGCTGCTAAACTTGCTTAGTAGTGATGGTCTTGAAAAAGAATCAAAGGCAGAAATTTAATTCAGAAATGCGTATCAAACATAATTCTTACCCTTTCCCAAACTGAACACCATATTATGACGTCGATTCCAACTATTTGAACAGATTTTACAAGATAAAAGTTTCTGAGTAAAAACCGAATTCAGACCCTTAATTTCTTGGTTTGTAGGACTACTTGGCTTTCGAAACTCAGTGGAGCTTTTCTCCTTGTACATTCTTTCCCTGCGTGATCGTTTTAATTATGGGAACACCAATCGACGAAAAACTTACAAAATAGTTTCAGTGTGATAACAAACATAAAAACAGAATTTAAGATAACAAGTAACAACACCTTTATTTTCAATGGGTCATTTGTAGGTAAATTTCAGTTTGTCGTGCAGAGCATGTTATTCAGATCTTGGATATTTCCTTCTGAGCGATTCTTTTATTTGACTTGTCTGATGTAAGAATGTACTATTTCCAGGCTTGCCACCCACATACATTAGGTAAAACACGAATGATACAATGATCAGGACTATAAAATTGAGCACGTTTGCAAGTTACATATATTCCCATTTCATTAGTGAAAACTAAGTGTAAATGCACGTATCGTTATTCTAAGACTTGGAAAACTCCTTATAATCTGTTTTTAAAAGAAACAACACTGTTATAGTACGTTGTTTTTGACTATTACCCGGGAATGTTACACCCTCAACTAAACTAAAAGTTAATTGGAACTTATGATTAATTACAATATTACAGCTTAATCACTTTGACTTAACTGTACAAAATTAGCGATACAATAAGAAAGATACATGGGCGGTGTGGTGATTAAAACACAATTAATTTTCTTCTACTAGCCATAAGCTTGAAAACGTTTATAAAACAATTTCGAGGAATGAGTCAGCACAATTTATTGGTGTACGAAAAATTCGGCGTTTCGAGATCTTAGCTACAAAGTAGTGAAAATTCTAGATATTAAAGAACGGTAAACAAAACGGGCTTGTCAGCGTTAACACCTACATTTTACACCACGTTGATTCTCACAACACCATATACTTTTACATCCTAATATTTTTCTTAAGCACACTTCAAATCGCATTTGCCAATTGACATGAATTTATTGGACTGAGTATGCATGAAAAACTTAGTTGACAGCATCTAATGAGTGCCATTACTCAAATTTAGCTCAATTTTATAGGACTAAAAGGATGCATTTATAGAATGAGTTCATCATGTGGAGCGGAAAATAAAAACACTTCTTGATTATTCCGAAATACCTGAAGCGTATTCGAAGTGTAGAAATCAAGCGCATCAACAAAAAAGTAGCAAATAACTTCCGTGTAACTAAATTCCCTGAAAATTAATATGCACTAAATATCACATACGTAAAAGTTAATAAGCCTTGTACAGTACATGAACATTTAACTGACCGTCATGTATTTTTCCGACTTTATATAAACATCATGGGATGTTTGGAAGTACTCTGGATTACTTAATTATCATAACACTTTTAAATAAACTACATATAATGTAATAACAATATTATTATTTCTACAATAATCCAGTCATATATATGCTCCTAATTCAATACTCTGGATAGTATCAAGCTCTTCATAAGTTTGACATTCGTATACTTGTGCGCAATAATAATAATAATTCGAATGAATTGCCATGGATTGGTACTGCAGTTTCACCATACCGTCATGGCACAACAGAAGAACTCCAAAGAATCTTAAAACAACACAGAATTAAAGTATATTACAAAACAACGAACACACTTCGAAATACTTTAGTTCACTTAAAAGAAAAAATCTCATTCATGTCAACACAGAACTGCGTCTACAAATAAAGTTGTGTCGATTGTGACACCTATATTGGAGAGTCATCTCGAGAAATCTTCACTCGTGCCAAAGAACACGTTAGGTACATAAAGAAACCTCCTAATAATCCCGTAGAACTGGATAGACTTCAAATTAAATCGGCAATAGCAGTTCACGCCATTTTCAACGACCACCAAATGGATTTCAAAATATTACAAAAAGGTTTTTCCAATTACAAAGAAAGGAGAGTAGGCGCAGCGTTCCGTATAATAGTTAATCTTACTTCTCTCAATAGAAAAGAAGGCCTTATCATACATCCTACTTGGACTATCTATCCTAGCCATTCAGTCTGATATTATTTAAAATTCACACTATTATCTTACAAATTAAACTCTATCCTTTCTCACCATTGTCACACAATTTTCATCCTTAACAGCGCACACATACATACACACAAATTAACATACATGTCGCTTGTGAATCACCTTGATCGGAATGACATGACATTGATTTATTTATTCAGATCTGTTTTTTGGATGATCACATAATATTCGTGTTGTTCCGTTGTACTATTTAAATTTGGTTATTTATTCTCTGAAGAAGTAGCTTACACTAAGTCATGAAACGTCAGAAAATCTAATTTTTCTACCCATTGGAATATTACAAATATATTATTTATTTATAACAATCTACCCAAATCTCAATTTATTCGAAATTATCAAATCAAACCGTGGTAATGATACCTACTTGTAACAAAAGTTTAATTTTTTTATAAGTCCCAGTTACATTACTCGAAATTATAATTCAATCCGATGGACTAAAGTTATTTTTAAGATTTGGAAAGCTCTTTGAAATCAAATACATTGAAAGTAATAAAAAGGATTTATTTATTCAATAGAGCATCTATTCGTTCCCAAAAGACGGATGATAGTTGAGATGTTAATCAAATGCCTATGAAATAATTAACGACTTGCCTACTTAATAGAAATTTCGGTGAGAATATTATTTATGGACGACGCTAAAGTGACCTTGAGAATATCCACCTACTAACTGGGACTACACGAGGGTTGCAAACCAGTATGAGGAACCAGAATTATAATTTATAGTCAATAATTAGGATTAGGATTTATATTCAAGGTTTTCATTACGAACCAACATTAGTTAAAATGCCAAAACGCTATTTAGCCAAATGGATGAATGAATTTCGCCACAAAATCCAAGACCTGCTATTTTATACTGATTGATTCATCCATAAATTATAGTCTTTCTGAAATTGCTTTATATTATATTAGTTAGCTAGAAATGAAAACGATGAAATTTTATACTGCGTGAGTAAAAATTATTCATCGTATCCTTCGAAAGAAGGCGTAAATAAGGGATTATTTCTTTGGTTGTTCAAAATAATATTAACAAATCAAGAAAAAAGATATATTTATATTGTTAAATCAACAAAACAGAATTAATAAAGAGCATAGCAAATATATCCGAGTGTGATTGTGTACAAGATGATGTCAATTAGTAGTTATGTTAGATCTCATCAGAACAAAACCAGAAAAAAATAACGAAAACCAACACATAATAAGTGGGAAATTTCTTTTTAAAAAATATGTCAATACATCTTTTAGAATAACAAATATAAGAATATCACTGATATATGTTGTAAATCGGAGAAACGAAAATATTTTATAAAATACCCACATGTTCTGTCTATAGAAGACTAAATAAATAGTACACAAAAGCAAGAAGTTAATAACAAACATTTAAAAAATTAGTAAATGCAAAGGTAATTATTCAAACAAAATATTTGCGATGAAAAGAAAAATAGACGAGATGCTTCTTGTCAATAAAGATTGATATCGAAAAACATAAACAGCGGGGATCGGACATGGAATTCATGAAAAGTTTCAAATTTATAACGAAACAATTACTTGTTGTGGTTTGTCGGGCTTCGATCAATGAAAACAATCCTTTTGAATGACAAGGTCTTTACAGGAAAAAGCTATATATATATAATAATCTTATTAGTCATAACGATACATTTTATAATAAAAACGAAAATAAAACTTACAGATTATAATCTATTCACATGAGAATAATATGACCTTTTATCCTTGAATCTGTTAATGGTTTGTTCAATTTAGTGAACTTATACAATGTGAACACATAAAAGTGGAGTATTAACCATTTGATCAAACGATATGCCATTGTTTACATTTATGTAAAGACTACAACATAAGCATGCATAGCAAACACAACTGAGAACAATAATGAGCATAAAGTATTGATAGAATTACGAAAATGAATGCTTTATTGATTTGAAATAACACCACGTTTATATCCGTATTGAAGCGTGATGAATCATCTTCAGTTATCTTATTTGTTTACAGTTAAGACGTTGATGAGTTTGTTCAATATAATCGGGGAGAACCATTGCGGACACAAAATCAGCCGATAAATAATCGTGACAAGCGAATTTCCACGTCCATAATTTTGCTAATTCTTCGAACTGATACTTATCCCAATCATACAAAGCACCAATTACTGGTTCCATACAAACACGTGTATGTGGATCAGTTAAAAGGGCTAAAATACTAATTAAAAGCTTCTCTAAACTCAATGCTAAACACCAGTTATGTCTGATTGAATCCAATCCAACATCACCATGAAAGCTGATGTTCGGATGCAATATACGTGTAAGAAAACGTATTACAGGTGGTCGAAAAGGATAACTATCAGGAACGAGAATAAGAACGTGAAAAAATCCACCTTGATATGGGGACTGTGGTGGACCTTCGATTCCAGCCAGAAAGTGAGAATATGT